TACGACGACTTTTAGTGCAAGCCTTCAAAACAAATCGTTAATTTAACACGTGGTGAGACACGCTGATGATATATGTGAAATAAAGTAAGGCAATAATGGCGTCGGTAGAGCTGTGATAGTTCATTGTCGGGGTGCTAAATTTAAGTATACACCCAACCCGAGTTCCCTATGCCAGCATCGACTAAACTGTTAGATGTTTGAAAATGAAGGAAAACATATCGTGAAGAAGGTAAATATTTTCTAAATAATTATAAAAAAAAAAACGTTCGAAGAAAAGTGGGGTCGCCTTTGCCTAGCAGTGGGTTAACGCCCGGTGTCTGAAACACTAATCATCTCAGAAGTTAACTAATCAGCTGTTAAATGGCTTTTCAAATGTCATTTTATTGCCAAAAGCATGGTTAAAGAGAGATTCTAAAAATTAAGAGAGTTTAACCATCTACTCGGCGTACTCGGGCTTCTCTTACTAATAATCGTATTGTAATTGGAGAAGCAGTTACACTTAAGACTTAAGGCAGTGTGTTAGGTCACCGGTTGAATGAAACGCCTTATGTTTCCTCGGCATTGCCACGTGCATCTCCGTGGCGTGACGATTTGGTACTCGGCAACAATTCTAGCCCGCGTGTGTACGTGAGACATCATTTGGGGCCACACGTGGCGCGACGTAACGCGCCATTAACGAGTGGGGTATCCCACACCGCGCCGCTTTCACTTCGGATTACGCGAGGCGGTTTTACCCGGGCCTCTGGGTCGAATTAGCACCGCGGCTCCGAATGTGCTCGCTTCGTGTGCCGTCGTGGTAAAACCCGACCGCTCCTTCGCTCCCCGGTAGGTATTTTTGGCAACGGACGCGTGTTGGCATTCCGCGGTGCGTTCGAACGGCTGTTTGTTTGGTTCCGTACAATTGGTTCCCAGTTGGTTTAATAGCAAAACGGTGTAACATATTTGACTATGATAGAGGAAGGCACTAAGCTTCTGTAGCACGAATGGAAGTATCTCGGCTCACGGTATACCGACGTCAAGTGAAAGTATTATGCTTTCGCGTTTGTCTGGTGCCTGGAAGTCAACAGACAAACGCGAACAGAGGTCCAATTTTTTTAGAGATTGGCAAAGCATCTGCAACCCCATAGGTTGATGTCCATGGGCGGTGGTAATCACCTACAATATCAATAATATCGAAGGCTTAGAGGCGGGAGTGGACAAGCTTTTACGCACTAGCGTACGATAAGAAAAACAAGAGAGACGATGAGCCAAAATCACCTGAGAAAGGACGTGCGCGGTGGGCACGACCTGTTCTCGAGGCAAGGTCGAGCTGGTGGGTAAAACCGAATGCAAATGCGGTGCCCCGTCGGCAGCGATTCGCCGCTGAACCCGCGCGAGTTGTATAACCGAGGGAAAAACCGGACAGCCGCTAATACGAATTTAATGTTGGACGATTCGCGCAGGGAAAACCGCCGAGCCTCAAGTGGGGCGGTCGTTTGTGGACGAGGCGGTGGAACAGTCGACGGCCACATTCCATGCAACGGGACATCGAAGTGGAGAGCCTGAGAACAGCATAATCCTACAGATCTAAAACTTAGTACCCCTTTTTACGAAAATTGCGTGGACGGAGGAGTATATTTCTCATACTTGTAGTTTATACAGAGAAGGAGTGCAGAATGCTAATAGTTTTTTAAAAATATGTATAAAAATACATTAAACCAATGAAAAACAAACATTACACACACTGGTAGCTTGTGTAGAATTTTATAAGTTTTTTTTATAATTATGATCGAATTTCGACCATTGGGCGACCACTAGTATAATTATATAGCGACGAAAGTATTAGAGTTCGTTTATAAAATATATTAAGCGTTCACATAAAAACCTATATATTAAGTAGTGGTCTGTTAATTTCGTTACATGGTTCCTTCAAGATGGAAGACTTTTTGTACAACTGTATAGTCGGTGCCTAGACACGGTCCTGTTTGGTTATCAATGACATTCGATAACGGAATAATTCTTCGGAAATAGTTCAAAAGGAGCAGCTGTCAGTTCTATCAATGTACTCTCGTTGATAGATGCGAGGAATAGTTGTTTATTTTCCATCAATGAGAAGAAATTAATCGAGAACCGACCGCTTTTCAATGGACAATAACAAGAAATCGCGGCTATATTAATGCGGGGGAGGGGTCGGTGACGCAGGTCACCGTCGCGCGTCTGTCGTGTTTGTAAACAGGTTTGGTTCCGCCATCCTAGGCCGTGATGCGGATGGCAGGGCTTTTTTTTAAGCGGTCGCGTGCAGGGTGACGGCTCGGGGAGTGTCGACGGCGTGGACAATGGCTCCGGCGAAGGTGAGCCGTGAGCGTTCACATCCGTCACGAGAGCGCGAGTAGGAGGCTGCCGTGAGATCAATCTGGCCATTTTGAGACGTAAATCTTCTTCCTCCAAACCTCATCACACCTAGGTAGGGTCAGCAGAACGTGCGAATCATGTTTCCAATGCCATTGGCTGGTTTTTCACGAACGGCCGCCTGATGTTAACCCTCCTTGGGAACAAACACCCAGGTACGTGACAATTACGTGGGTCACAAAAATACTTGTCCCGTGAGGAAATCGAACCTACGTGCCCCGGTTGAAGTATTCCAAGGAACCGCATGAGGTACATATAAGAGAGGACTACGCTCAATGACACTAATGATGCAGTAGATGCCACAGGCGTTGAGCCAACGACCGAGATTATATTGCATCTGGCAAAAAACGGTCGAGACAGCAACTGTTGGCGAGAGGTGATTTGGTGCCAAATCGTCACCGCATAGTATGGTGCCACGTGAAGTTTTATTACGACACAATCGATATCTCAAAAGGCGAACGCGGAATATAACTCGTAAGGCTGCTTAGGCTAAGTTACAATGAGTAAGTTTTCGAATTGGACGTGATGTCAGCTTTGCAAGTTTCCGTACAAGGCCTTGGGGTTTCGCGGAGGTACGGTTATGGACTTCGAGAGGGTTTTTCTAAGCGCTTGACCTTTTAGCTTAGCGGCTAACGGAATTAAATCACCAAGTCGTTATCTTAAGTAAAGTGTTTAGAACGCTACAATTCACACTTCCTTGTTTTGACCGCGAACAGATCAACGTTCGAAGTCAAAACATATTTCTGATGTAAAAAAAATAATAAAAGTTACGTCATACATTTGTCATAGATAACAGTGAGATCATAAATTGTTGCTTATGCAACATCCTGCTACTATTTTAATGTTTTGTTAAAACGTAGTAAACACTCATTACTTCAAACGTAAACAATAAAATGGCAGCTGTAAAAAATGTTAATAAAGTCGGAATTGAACGGTACAAATCTACAATTGACGCGATAAATTTTCCTCTTCTGTCATGTGCACGGGGAATGTATGGAACGTTAGAAATCCAATTGAGCGAGCGTGATTCAATAATGACAATTGTTATGCCGCAATTACGGACGCGAGTGCATAAGGTGTCCGAATAATATTCACTTATTTAGTGGCGTAGCGGCAAAATTATCGAATAGACTATCTAATGGCATAGACTCAAAAAGTGGTGAGATTTATCCTCACTCAGCGGTGAGGTTGATCAGTGGTGCCTATACTTTTTAGGGTTCCGTACCCAAAGGGTAAAACGGCACACTATTACTAAGACTCCGCTGTCTGCCTGTCCGTCTGTCACCAGGCTGTTTCTCATATGCCGTGATAGTTAGACAGTAGAAATTTTCACAGATAATGTATTTCTTTTGCCGCTATAAAAACAAATACTAAAAAACACAATAAAAAATATTTAAGCGGGCCTCCCATACAAGTGTTGGTATACTGACTAACAATCCACATCAGTTTGTCTAAGTATGTAATAAGGTATGATAATGCTGAAATATGAAAAATATACCTTTAGTTACCATCGACCGCAGCGATGTCAACAATTAGCGATTAACTAGCATTAGATTTAATACACGTGTAAATTAGTCTTTAAATGGTATATAGGATTAGTAAATTAATTGCTAGTTCAGTTTTAACTGGCGTCCCAGAGTGCCAGTATGTAATAGAAAAAGTAGACCTGCTGTATACTAAAAACAATCAACCAGTTCTAGATGGCCAATGACACACGATAAGCTAGTAGGGTGATCCGAAATATGACAAAAGCAGTAATAGAGATAATAATTTGTGGCGCGAAATGTTGTTTACTAACTAGAACGTTTATCTGTCCGACAGAAAGAGAGAGAGAGAACCCATAGAAAGAGACGGCCATTACAGGCCAACTGAATTTAACTATAATAACAACTTTTCTTTCTATTCTTAAAAAACTATAGGAACACAAGTTGTTGAAAACAATGAAATTAAGGGCTATATTTGCTTGTACAAGTTAATATCAGACTGTCATATAAGACATGCTAATGAAGAACGTTTATTAAAACCATTATAATTTGTCCATGCACAGACTCGCGCTATTAACTGGTAAATATATAACGACGCAATAAAACTACATTTGACGGCGCGACGGGACGGTTTGCGTAATGCTGTTATCATCTGTGCCCAGTGCCTAGCACCGATATAGCACGGGCCTCTTCAGAGGTCAACGTAAAGTGTGGGCCTTCGACAACAAACCATCTAATTGAAAGCATGGCATAGCAATTTTTGCACTTATATTGCGCATCTTAAAGAGCTTGCTTAATATCATGATTTGTTGAATAGGCTATAAACTAATATCTGCATAAATTGTAATTGCTTACATTTCTTATTTAGTCATCTTCAACGATCACTGCAGCGTGATATTTTAGCATATTTAACAAAAAAAATTGAAAAATCATTTAGTTGCAGTGTGTCAGTGGAAAACCCTTGTGGTTTCCCAAGGTTTTTATTTGATGATGCGTCAGTGCGGAAACTATAACGCAATTGCATTTGTAAGAAAATTAAGAAAAATTTAAATGAACATCGACACCTTAAGCCTTAAATTGTCTTCAAATTTGATTTTTCATTTATAACTAAATAATGGAAATACTCACCATTATAATTTTTTTGATTGAGCACGGAGGGCAAATTCGCCTGAGGCTGGTCTTGTACTGGCGCTAGCAACGCTTGAAGGCAGTCTTTGTTATTTGTAGCTACAGCTAAATGAACAGGGGTGTCCCCGTTGCCATCCCGGAGGGCTACACTCGCTCCAGCAATCACCAACATTCGTGTGACTACTGCATTGCCACTTAGCACTGCCAAATGTAATGCAGTGTGACCATAATCATTTCGCATGTCTAGCCATGATTTCTCTGGACACACTTTGATGATAGTGCCCACTGACTTCTCACAGCCGTGAACTGATGCAATGTGAAGTTGTCTGTAAATAGAAACTTCACTTAATACTTTCTTTGTTAGGTTGTGCACAAATTTCCGACAGGCTCTTGGATATGTTGTTATTCATCATATACAAATTTTGGACCTCATTAATTATGATAGATTACCATGAAGTAATTTTAAGGCTAATTTTTATTTAAATAATCTTAATATTGAGAGAGATAAATGTTTACGTCTAGTGTAATATAAACACATTCATAACAATAAACACATCTGAATTGTATGTTACATACAATTCAGATAAGTACATAGTCCAATTATCTTTATATACAGCGTGTCTTTACCATCGCAACAATAAATGAAAACACATATTGAGGATAACTTTTTAAAATTGTATTAAAGATTTACATTCTTTAAACATACCTATAAATATTTAACGAGTTATCAAATTTTCCAAAACAAAGAATTTTAGAACATCCTTACGTATAAAACTTTAATGTAAAGTTCATTTGTAAAGGTCAAAAAAACTTATGAATGGGTTGAATGAATTTAAAAGAGACAAAACATACTGTTAGAAGGAGAGGCTTGTAATGCGGCGCTGTGGCAACGAATGAAAGTCTCTGAATGTATGAATCAGTCAGATGCAGTTGTATAGGATGTTACAAATTTGTTTCTTTTTTACTTAATTAGTTTGTTTGAAAAAAATTTTTTTAATTATGGATTTTTTTAATGTTAATATTTTTTACGATTATTGGCAAGTAGCGTTAGACGTGTGTTCATTTATTGTCGCGGTGGTAAAGACACGCTGTAAATAATTCTTCTGTATGTGTGTATGTCACTGAACTCCAAAACGGCTGGACCAATTTTAATGAAATCGAATAGAGAATGGTTAAGATTCACAATTCGGAAATACAACTTTTAAAATTTTTTTAATTTATAAGATGTTGGATTTAAGTTGTGTGTGCAGGGCAAGTTTTATTTATATAAAATGAGTTTTAGTAATAAATGTAACATTTATTAACTTGCTAGGCTGTAATATTTATTATCTTCTTTGCTTTACTTATAATGTTAATATTAAAAATATACAGACAACGGCGGATAAATATTTGATGTTAAGATTATGAAACCTTTACTTAGGGTAGTAGGGCCACGCAATACTGTTGCACGAATGGGCAGGCACCACAACCTCACAGAAGACTGGCGTAAAGTAGAAGTGTTACACTTCTGCGTTTTGTCTGGTGAGTGAGGTAGCTGGGGCCCCACTTTATTTAAAGGTGGCAACGCATTTGCAACCCTACGAGTGTGCAAATGTCTATGGGAGGCGGGTATCACTTAACATCAGGTGAACCACCAGCTCGTTTGCCACTTTCTCACATAAGAAAAAAAAAATTTGTTTTCACCAAAGATAATTATGTATTCTAAAAAATATGTTTGTGTTTTCCCTCTATGTGAGTTGAGAATGAATAACTCATTCAATTGTGATGAATGTTTGGTCAAATTAGTTCTCCATATTCCCCTGAAGGCTGTGGCCCAAAAAAGGGTAATGTAAAATTTTACCTTTTTATTTCCTTATTTAATTAAATTGTATGCTTGATAATGCTTTGATATAAAAAAATATTTCTTACTATCAAATTTAAATGTATGTTAAAGACATAAATGCATGGACATTTTTTTTTGGGATACTAATGATATAGTTTGTGAATTTACGTTGTAAATACTATTCAAAATATGTTAAAAAAAATGTTATGTTTATACCAATCCATGGAATTAAGTTTTACCACTTCTCAGTTGTGTGACATAATGAATACATTGTTCATTGTTGTTAATTGGAGAATATGAAGGCTTCAATCTCTCATTACAAAATAGCCAGTTTTTTTATACTTTAGTTAGGAGCATTTGTTCATAGCATAGGGATTATCCATTTAAAAGATGACATAATTTGTTATGTCTAATGGGAACTAAATATGCAATGATAAGCACTAGTTCTCTATACTAAATTTATGAATGTCATCAGTTGTTTCACATCTGACCTTCACTACTATACATATTGATAAAAATTACCAAACTTTGTTAGAATAATGATTGAAATTTTCAAATTTTATATAAAACAGTCAATTTGAATAAATTTGTCTAAGGAAAGCTATAATTAAGCTGTTAATACCTTAAAACTAGACATAATCAACAATTACTCTAAATTATTTAAATTAAACCCTCCTACATGGCAAGTTAATAAATGTAAATGTTAACATAATATTTTGTACATTTTGTTTCAAGGTCTTGAAAGATATTTTGCGTTTACATAAATAATAAAACGAAAAAGAACTATTTATATAACTCACGTATCGCCATCGTCGTCTTGTTCGAACAATATTTGAAAAGGTGGGTAATCCTGACTTCTCTCCGTCTCTACTTGGATCCTTGGTAGCTGCGTCTCAATCGTGTCACTAATCCTCACATCAGACAGCCTTTCCGTGAGGTCCAAACCACTGTCTATCTGTTCACTCAAAATTCCACTGTCACTGGCTTCAACAATTTTATCTCCCGACAATTCCTCGCTGAGAAGTCCAGACAGATACCCGGAATCTGTTTGTTTGTATTCCTGTACTTTCGTTTCCTTTTTGGCACTCATTTTTGATATTCGTTCACAACGTTACTCTAAACCGAAATAACAATAAATTTACACTAGGCAACAGCACGAACGCATGTTTTAAAAGTTTGAAGCGCGTTTTGCTTGCAAGCAACCGTATTCAAGTGAAATTGTGTACGCAATGAATGCAAAGTGAACATTCAACAGAGAAGAGTAACGTCACAACAACTTGGAGAAACCCATTTACATTTACTCATTTAATTCTAGATAAGAATTTTGTTCTGATTAGTGATGTAAGTGTGTTCTATAAAAACCGATTTGTTTTTGTGTGTAACTTATATCGGTTTTAAATCGGTTTAATGGTTTATAAAATAATTTGTCAAATAACGGAACAATTTATTTCTAAATATTTATTTTATTTGTTCGATTATTAAACGTTGCATTTATATTTTGCATTTACAATTTCGATTACATACACTTTCGATTTGTCTATGTACTGAGTATAAACTGTAAGTAACAATCTGTGAATATAAATAAATGCAGGAATACGCACGTACGTCCAGAGAACTATCACGAACTCACAGAAAACCGGCATGAAGTGGAAGTGTCATACTTCTGCGTTCTGTTTGGTGAGTGCGGTAATCGGAGCACCCCTACTGGTGTTGCAAATGTCCATGGGTGGCGGTTCTATCTTAGCATCAGGTGAACTGCCAGCTCGCTTGCCACCTTCTTCCATAAAAAAATATGTGTGTACTTATGTACGCACGTAAGTAGTTATACGTTTTACAAATGAAAATTAGATTATCTAACATCATTCCCACGGCTTAAACTATCTCCAGACCGAATTTCATCTAAATCAGTTCAGCGAATTAAGTGTGAAAATTTTCAGACGAGCTACTTTCGCATTCATAATGTGATAGTACATAATGGCGATATGTGGCGACTCATTTGCTATAGTGTAACACCGCTTTTGTCTTATCTTTCATCTGGTCTAGCATTACCCTAATATTGACAAATTTCTAAAGCAACGAGTGACAATAAAAGATCATGAATTTCTCAACTCGGCCAAACTCGGCTTGTTCTTTGAACTGCTCCTTAAATATTCCCTCCTGCTGGCTCCCAAAACTGGTGACCCCGACGTGATTGCACATGCAGTGCACCCAAACATATATTATAGTATAATAATATATAAAGGAATCAAAAGAAGTTTTTCTATTTAATATCAAATAAAGCTATTTTTGCTATTAAATTGAAATAAAATATATGGAAAAGTATACGTGATTAAATACCAAGCTGAAATATAAAAAGTAAAGTAACAGCCAATACATGTCCCACTGCTGGGCAAAGGCCTCCTCTATACAGAGAGTATCAGGGCATAGTCCACCACGCGGCCCCACTGCGGATTGGCGGACTTCACATATTTTCGAAATATATATTTTTTGTTATTATTTCGAAAATATGCAGGTTTCCTCACGATGTTTTCCTTCACCGCGGACCACGTGATAAGTCAGCACTTAAAGTTAAAAACTTCATTGGTGCCGGCACCGGGGATCGAACTCAGGTTGCTCGAGTATATTGAATTAAAGGCGAGCGCCCGGACACTGAGCTATCACGGCTCATATATTGCTCATATATTATAGCTGAAATATTGTTAACCTTAATTAGGTAACAATAGCTTGGTATTTCAACGTTACACTGAACACTTTTTCTAAAACAAGCATTCAAATCTTTGGTAAAATATCAATTTATACAACATTATGTTATTTTATATAATTCCTAATTATATAAAATAACATAATGTTAAAAACGTCTGCTTGCTGACCTCTTCCGAAGAAGCTGTCAAAGCCGCAGGGTAGTAACAGCAAACTAGTCTAAATTAAAAAAAAAACATTTATTACGATAATTTAAAGTAAAAGTAATTTATTTTTACTCTACAATAAATTTAGTATACATGTATTTGTCTCAAATAATTTTATCCATTTTTCTGTGTCACTTCACTTACGTCTAAATGTCAACAACAAAAATAGGTTTAAGGTTATATTTACTGATTCATGATTGAAAATTGTTTACAACTATGTATATTTTTTAAATTAATATTCATATAAACCTGTTGAAATATAAAAATACCGACATAATCGAGTTTTAGTGAAAAACAACTAGTCATTGAATTAAATATTTACGTGTTAAAATATTAAGGCGGGAAAAATATCGCAAGTTTTAAAGTTCTATAAAATTAATAATAATGTTTGGTGAAAAAGTTATTGAGTTAATAAAAGAATCCGAAAGAAATCGAGACACAATCGACCAATATAACGTAAGTTTATAACTAAATTATGATATTATAGAAAAAATTAATGATATTAATAGAAACTGTTCCAAATATATAAAAGATAAAATTTTTATCCAACAACCGCGTTAATCATAGAATACCAAAAAAAATTATGCGTTCGATGAAGCTTTAATAGTCTCGGGACTGAAAGGGTTAACATCAGTTAATACGCTAAAAAAATTAGAATGCTTTTTTACATCTGTGAAATAGATTAAGTTTATAATAAATTTAATACATGGTGCTATTCAATGTATTGAAAAATGAAAATAATATTCATTAGGACTACGGTAGCACGCGTAGGGTGGGGGAGAGGGGGGGGGGGGGGGGGGAGTTACGAACTCCTTTGTAAGAGGGAGGGAGGTACAGAAGTGTATAGTTTTTGAAATATATTTAAAAAAAAAACTATCCTAACCTATGCAATGTTACTACGGTAGTATTAAATAAGAATCAGGCAATGGTGGGGGAAGGCTCTTAGCACTGCTAGTGGGGCTCTAATTCTGGGTGGTTATAAAAAAATAAAGGCCTTAACCTTCTAACCTAACGTGTCTGAGCCGGGTTGCTCTGAACCGGGCTGTCAACCATAATATGCAATAATGTAGATCTTTTGGGCGAAAAATGAAACAATACTGTTTGAAACACTGCCTAGTGGTTAACCTATAAAACTTAAAAAAATAATTTCTCTAAAACTATAAATTTCCCACAGAAAATCCTTCTAGTATTTACTTCAATAACTTATTACCTACCTATTAAAATAAAATTATAATGAAAATCGTGGTACCATATATTAAAGCAAAGTCCTGTTTAATTTAAAATGAAATAAATAATTACACTAGTTATACCACACCACAAAATAGAAAATTTCTACCTTTTCAATCTCAATAAAGGTCATAGCATCTAGAAAATCCTAGGTATGTAACATTACTAAAATACTATATCATCATTGTGTTACTATCTCAAAAACAGGATTATATGCAGTGCTGTATCTTGTTCTCCATGGTTTGACATTATTTCAATAATTCATTAAAATAATATCCTTATACCAAATACCTTAGACAGTGGTTGTTTTGGGGTAGGTTACAGACATCATAATGCATTTTCAGCTGCTTTATTAAGTACTTCCTATAATATTTTTTTATTTTAATTTTATGTTAAATACAGTATGCTGTTATTATACAAACAGGATGACAAAATTTGAATTATGTGTAGGTTATGTAGTTAGAATATGAAAATACTTAAGTTTTACGGCAAAAGTATTATACAACCTAGCATGCAAATCCTCTTGATATTAGTATTTCAGAGTATAATTTAGTTAGCAAAGCTTGTAACCTTGCATTATGTACGATAGATAAGTGATAAACACTTCAATTGCATGAAGTACGAATATATTATGCTTCTGAATCACATCTGGTGGGTGATGTAACTAGAGTCTACTTTTTTATACCCATGGACACCTGCAACTTGAGGGGTGTTGCAATTCTTAATGGCCACTGTATCACTTAACATCAGACGAACCACCATTTTGATTGAAAAACAATGTGGCATTTATATAATCATCCCCTGATGCTAGATTTAGATTCTCTATCCACTACAGTGCAAGAGATGACTTGATTTTACACTACCAGTGACTGTGATAGAACTTCTAGGTTACAGTGGTTGTTAGGACTTAGTACCCAACTACAAAAAATACAAATACATCACCAATTGGACTCTCATTACCAATATTCATTGTTGAAGTTGGTGTTGTATAAGGATGCGTAAGATGTTGTATGCTGCAAAGGATGCTTACTAGATGGCGCTAAGCATTCTTCAAAATGCAGTAAAACATAGATGTAAAGATTATCACACAATGAGATCCTTGGCCATTAAGCTTAGTTAGTAAAGAATATGCAGGTTCTACTCCCACAATGCTGAAAGTTTTTGTTCTTTTATCTACAAAAATTTACAATTTAAAGCATCAATGGGACTGTCATAGATTATAAACTTACTTAGTATATGTGTACTTATCCATGTGTTGTTATAAGGTTACTGACAGTTTCTTTTGAAAGAACATATTTTAAAGTAAATTCATTTAATAGTATGATATAAGAAGTCATAGTTTATCATGAATAAATAACGTTACTCCTCTATGGGATCTTCTAAAATAAAACAAATTCCGTAGAAAGATAAAAACGGGGATATCTTTACTGTAAAAGTTTAGGTATTATTTCATTCCTAGATGGAATTTATACTGTGCTTTAATTTTGTTTTAACAATTGTTTCTTAGGTTAAACTCCAACCCCCATTTTTTTTTGTTGACGTGCGGGAAATGCCTACGCATACCCGCCCTCGCGGGGGCAAGAGCGGGTTATGTCGGACTCGCACCGACTAAAACCCCCACGATGTTATACCTAGGTGCATATCGGCAGGGTCACGGGAACGCTTTCGCACAGATCCGCGACCCTGTCAGCGCTGGCCGCCTTAGCAGCCCCCTCACGGGAAGCAAGCGCCTTACCTGGAGGAGAGGGGAGTCCCTCTCCTCCAGGTAAGGCGCGCTGGAACATTCAGCGCGCCTTCCTACTCGGCCCCATTTTCACGGCCAAAGAACTCCCCCGAGTACGCTGACCAGGGCCATGGGAGCCAGGAGAGCCAGTGCTAATAAGCAGCAAGCCTCCCAGCCCCCAGCGGCGGACCTGGTCTGTGGCTCCGCCGCTCACCACGTTTCGGCAGCGGAGGATAGGGAGAACGGTGCACCGCAATACCGACATTCCTCTCCCCCCGCGGCCCCACCACAGCTGCATCAGCGGTGCAGCCCCGCCGAGTCGCGGAGGATTGGGAGCACGGCCAACGCAATACCGACACTCCTCTTCCCCCGCGACTCCTCCTCGGTAGCAGAAGACAGGGAGAGTGGCTCCACCTCTACCACCCTCGACCTGTCCCCTGCACCCTCCAGCACGCATCCAGAGTAGGCTCATTGAGCCCACTCGGAGCGGCCTTCTCGGGCCGGCCTTCTCGGGCCGGCCTTACACCACAGGCCGGCCCAGTGTGGGTTCCTCTTAGCTTCGCCGTGGGGGACCAGGCCACGGCTACTAAGCCCCTCCGCCACGTCAAGGCGGGAACCCGGTTGGAGGGGAAACTCCAACCCCCAACACATAATGGCGTAGAGACCCAGATTTGGTGTCGCTATTTAATAACCCCCTTACGTCCTACCATTTTGGAGCAATGGAGTACATACGCACACAAGTTTTATTACCTCTCACTTTTACATACGCATTTAATAACTTTATACACTTTTGCTTTTCGCATCGTAAGAAAAGCAAGATAAATTATTTCAACTGCAGGCATGACGCAATAGCACCGCTTAGACTTGGATTCGATGAAGGCGATGATATTCTATCAGGATTTTGATACGATATAATACTGGGACATTCAATGAGTTAAACGTTCTTAAAATCAGTTAAACATCCTTCAATGAGTAATTAGCTCTGTCAGTAGGTCTGTTCAGTCCATTTCGACCAGTATTTAATCAATCTGTTGTAAGAGACTTACAACAGATTGACTGTGAGGGATTTTGAGCGAGCTGTTATTTGACAATCGTCATAACGTTGCACGAGATCGGCGAATTGTTCTTGAGGATTCTTGCCGCTTGTCTTTATATGCTCTGCCGTGAAGAGTTCTCTTTCAGTGCCCTCGAAACAGGCATTTCTTGGCGACGCAAAGGAAAGGCGGTTTATGAAAGAGAGCCCTTGAATCTAATATAGCCTGTTAAGCACTTCTTCGATGGATAGGAAGTCCATGAAGGATTATCTAAATTTAAATAAACTGGGTAGTTGCGTGTCTTATGCTTTAGTACTCAGTCGCGTTATATGAAAATAGTAATATCCTCATTAAGTTCCCTGTTCGCCTTATTAGTACCTGTACCATTTCAAGCCACGTTACTTTACCTGTCATGCTTGATTAACCAAATATGAGCGAGTTATTTGTTTACCATTAACTCGCTCGTATTTGATTTTAATCTCTAAAAGGATTCTAGTCAGTATTGAATACTCGTGTACCCTGTATTTACCCCCGCTGTACTGTATACTTTCATAATTGGTTATTGTTGGTAAAAGGTATTAATAGGTGACCATTAAAACGTGAACATCTGTAGCTCCGTCAGTACCTCCAAGAAAGCGAGCTGATCAGTGTCGCAGCCAGGTATTCCGCACCATTGACGATTCTATGAATATTGGCCCAAACCGGTTTCATTTACTTTTTGCCATTCTGCTGTCCTCGACCTAGGCTGACCTTCATGCTCAGCGTGTTTTTCGGATTCTTTACGAGTGCTCATTTATGCCGTGATTTTATTTCGACTCATGAACGATTTACGTTCCCGGGATGACCTTTTAAGTGAAGCAGGTTTCCGGATTTTGGTGCCTATTGTTGCCGTCAACCCACAGTTTCGATTATAAAGCCATTTCCGTATCTCTGTTTCGAAGATCCAACAAATTATTTTTTGTAATATTTAAGTGAAATAGCAGATATATTTTTATTGAGTTATGTCGCTAATATACCATAATCATCATCGTTAATGTTATGACATTGCGGCTATTATATAACTTAATTTTTACGCGCTTTGTGTACAGAAATGGAATAGTAAGAAGTTTTTATCAATAATATTAATATAAGAAAATCAAATGACTTTAAGTTCATAAAAATGTGACTCTTATTAATACTTACTATGTATAAGTTTCTCTGCTGGCCCCTACGCGCTCTACAGATATAATAGTTTAATTATCCGCTTTGTTATACAATCACAATATTATTAACGATTCTTTTCGATTTTCTGCTTTCTTCCACATTATATTGAAGGCATGTTTGAAATTTAGCATGTACATTTACTAATTTTTATCAGTTTTAATATAATGGAATAACTGATTTCACATTTTTTGTCTTAAAATAATAAAATATTACTTAACTTTTGCGACATTACGTCAAAATAATTTTAATTAGTTCATGCGTTTATATAGTTAACAGTTCAATGAATTTTCAATACCCCTTTAGTTTTATCACCGTATTCTCGGGAACTCTTAATATGATTTTATGAATTATGATGATATTTATGCTATGGGGTAGGTCCTTATAATAAATTTTAGTCACTAGTGCCTCTATTGTCGTAACGAAACGTGAATTTGAAATATGGTTTTCACAGGTTCCATTGAAAACTTCCGTCAAAATTACATTGCTGGAATTGTTTGGAATAAAAACTCCACATTGCGCCCGTAATATGGAAATGAGCTTAGCTGATGTTGCTGAGTAAGGGGGAAAAAGGAACGGGTATTTTCCGGTCCCACTTATAGAGAATCACCGACATTTGGATTTTATCTTTTACGGAATAATCAATCATCTTGCATGTGTACGTTTCGTTACGTACTAGCAACTTCTCGCTTTGTGGCCAGCGTGAATTTAGGGATTGGTAATGCATATTGATCTATCCGATTCCCGAAGAGCAAGAAATTTAATTCTTAATAATTTCGCCAAAACTGTTGATTGGTACCAATTCAGAATTGAAATATACATAATATCTCCAGTAGAAAATAAATCGTGTTCATATATTTCATGTCAGTCAGTTTTTCGTTTAGTATATTTATTTTATTTTATTGGCTAACATAAGGAAAACATGCAGCATTTACATAAAATAAATTTTACAATCACACACAGATATGTGGGCCAATAAACTTTGGAGCTGTACACTTTATCATGCCGATATAGGTATTTAGCTTTGGGTTGGGTCTAATGCCGTTTTAACCATCGGTCCCCAACTTTAAGGGACACCTAAAAAAAAATTTAAGTGCTATTTTCGTTTTCACCACCGCTTAAATGTCACGCTTAATCCTTTAGCTTAAGTGTCCCATAAAATTACGGATCGATGGTGAAAACGGGCATAAGTGTTTTATATATGCAATTTACTACATATTATACAATACGATTGTCGACTTCGACAGACTTATCTGTCGCTCTGGGATTGTGAAGCTCGGCAAAATAGGCTATAAGCAGTCTCGGAATTAGAATTTAATTAAAGTTAGTAAAGAGACTTTTCTAACCAGTCAGTACCCATGTTCAGACTGCAACAGTCAGCGAGTATCTCTAGGCGTAATACTATTATTAGAAACAATATAGTCAATGGATGATTTTACTCTTACAGGATGAGAAAGTTCGTCAGATCATCGAGGAGATGCACGTATTGTTTAAAATGAACATGGCAGACGCGTGAGTATCTTTGCTTTTTATATAACAATAAAAGATGAGTTTAAGTCTACTTGAAGTTATGATGTCATCAATATTCAAGTCTTCATTTTTCCGTTGCGCCCTGATAGAGTTTTGAAGCAAAATCCTGCGTTCGCCCGTTGTCTTTTTCGTCGTTGTGTCGTCTATTGTATAAAATAACATCACACGAGACTTAGACGCGACATTTTCTATCACAGGCCGGCACAAACTAAAATCGTTATAGTACGGAATCATTTGTCAATTTGAAGTCCTTAGCCTTCAAAAATATAGTAAAATTTTATATACAGAATGAAAATAACAATGTTGCAGACCTCATTATTAAACGCATTCTTAAAAATTTGTTAAGTTAGTGTATACTGAAAGTAATCATCCAAAAATGTAGAGGACAACATGGCCCGGGATGTCGCAAAATTCAAAAACGATATTAAGATAAACCGTCGTCGCTAACCGTCCTTACTAATATTATAAACGCGAAAGTTTGTAACCTGTCAAACACTTTATGCGTGCGTTCCGATTCCTCTAGAAATAATTTATATGGGAAAACAACGGTTGCCGAGTCGGCTAGCTAATGAATAAAATCGCTGAATGCTGCTGCTATTTCTGTTTCAAGGAAGGAAAATATTTGGCCCGTTTGGACAGAAACAAATTAGGCGGTAAATGGAAGCATTCAGCTATCACTTAGGCTTGTATACGGCTTGGATGTGTTCGCGTTTAGGCTTCTTAATTACTACAGTTCCAACAACAGCTTGTACAACAGCTTCTGCAAGAACAGATCTGCTCGATCGGGGAAGTAGCACACTTTTTTTTTGTAAAACTGCTGCAAAATATCAGGTGTTGCGAGTGCCTGTCGGCATGCACATACCTTTAGGTTAAGCCATGGTTTTACATACAGGACTGTGAGGAACTTTTGGAATTCTACTAAGTTACAAGAGAGTTTAATGCCTATTCGTTGTCAACTTTTATTAATAGAGAAATAAATAATTCGCTATGGACTTACAAACAAAGTTATTATTATATATTTTTAATATTTTATTTCTTTAATATGTTATTTTATATTTTTTTATTATATACGTTTTATATTTATAGACATATCCTGTGTGTAGATGACGGTGACGGAATGAATGTCTTTGTATTTTATGAGTTCATCACCATCATTTCAGACTATTTTAGTTCACTGCTGCACATAGGCATTACTTCGTGTCAGTCTGTGGGAATCGGCCCCCAACGACTGCCACGAAGAGACGTTGAGAAGACCCGAATCCATCAGCTTACTGCACATTTTCACACGTTGTCACTATCAAGTGAGGCGTAGTCCCTAGCTTTTGATAGCCCGCGTATATATATATAAACGTATTATAACGTTTCGTATTATTCTAGGAACGCAACGACCGAGAACAAATCCCTATGGACGACCGTCCAGGTGAGGCACTCCGCTTTGGAGAGGAACAAACGTTGCCTCCTCGCGTACCTCCACAGCCGGATGGGCAAGATAAAGACGCTGCGCTGGGAGTTCGGCTCGGCTCTCCCTTCCGACGTCAGGGAGCTGCTCTCGGACAGCGAGTACGAGTGGTTCAGCAAGTATTCGACGAGCCTCGCCGCTTACATGAGGTCCCTGGGCCGCGAGATCGGCTACAGCGGGATCGACCTCACCGAGAACCTCCGCCCGCCAAAGTCGCTGTACGTCGAGGTGCTGTGCCTCACCGACTATGGCAAGCTCGAGCTGGAGGACGGCGACGTGGTGCTGCTGAAGAAGCACAGCAGGCACTTCCTGCCGACCTCCGAGTGCCAGACCCTCATACGGCGGGGCGTCTTGAGGCAGATCACGTAGCCGCGTGGACAGTATCCGGTGCTTTGCTTCTAAACATATGGGCTGTTACGTTTGAATTGTTTTAATGAATGCTCTAAGGATTTAATCGCGTGTTTCATTTGATTGCATGGAATAAATTGGACGCAATAAAATCCCCATGACATGTTTTATTGTCATGTGTAGGTTGTCGTAAATAAAATAAATCATGTGTTGATTGTTGTTTTTTTACGGACTTGTTGAAATAATATTAAATTTAATTGATGAATAACAGTTTATGTAACACTATAACTCATTAGTATCGAGTTGTGTCATAGTTATGATATCTACATAAAAAAAGACCGTAAAACACATTGTTGCTTCCAAATAAAATTATCGAATAATGATGCAAACCAGTTTTTATTGATTACTTTGTTTTTTGAAACGTCAATTCCTTAGGTTCGCCGCGGCCGCTATAAAAACAACTATCGTCGAATAATGTAAAAATGCAGAATTATAAAAGAAAAATAGGTAAGTCTACTCCAGATCGTTTACTTATGGGCTTATTTAAAAAAAATGTTTTGGATAGAAAGAACAATATAGCGAACAGGATTATATAATTTTAATATTTAACTGTAATTCAAATTGAAAAGTTCAAACTGCCTTCCTCAGAGATTTCAATCATTGCTAAATTCGTACATCTACAAGTGGGGTCTCATTAATAAGACTGATGGTCTCAATTCAAAGAATTTAATGATAGTTAATAGCTAATTGTCGTCCACCCCGGCTTCGCAAGGGTGAAATGTATAATACATTTCACCCTTGCGAAGCCGGGGTGGGTCGCTAGTGTAAAATAAAGTTTGAAATCTTCTTCAATTATTTATTTTCCTGGTGTAACTCATCCTATAAAAGCGAAACGGTTTGTTCCAAAAATTATTCACGCAAACCGACCGTGTCGAACTAAGGCCTTCAAAAAATAAATTCTGAGAAATAAAACGGTATAATATCTTCGTGTTGGCATCTCTTTGATGAGTGTTTTATGACATTGCGGGATGCACAATAAAAAAATTATCTCCACAACTCAGAGGGAATACCGCAATGACTAAAAAATGTTTCCTTGATGCGCATCTGTCGGATTTTCCCGATGGTTTTAGAAAGTCGTCGCTGATCCGGCACTGACAATTATTTTCGGCGTTTGTGACACGCAGTGTTTCTGCTGAAATTAATAATCCCGGACGCTGCGGATTGCATCATCATTCGCATCACGCAGGTCGGTGATGGGCACCGACCTGCCTCGATGTATGATCGGTCGATAAGTTAATTTTACACGTATGCCCTCGCAAAATTAATTCAGGGCGACACTGAAGTGGTAGTGCAGTTCCTTTGTCAATGTTTAATAGGGAGGTTAGGTTTATGTTTTAGGTTCCGGTCAATATTCTACACTTAGGAAAAGAACACCTTACCTTTATATATGTGAAAAGGTGTCGAGTAAGCGGGCAGTTGACATTTAAAAAATTTTTAAAATGTAGCAACGCGTCTGTAATAGCCTCGGGGTTTCGGATGGGTTGCCACATTTAAAAAAATGTTGGGCTCTTAAACGTCATCGCCTTTATATCGAAGGAATTGTAATTCCTTACTCGATGACGTTTCACGTGCACCCAATAAGTGCTCTGCTAAAAGAATTGTACGTGATCGTTTTTCAAAGTCCCCAAATGTTACATGAAATTCTTCTTTTTTATCTTCGCTACTGTCAGATGCTTATATATCTTATCCTTTAAACGAGCAATTCTTGTATATATATATATATATAATCGGAATCTCGGAAACGGCTCCAGCGATTTTCATGAAATTTAGTATGTGCATAGATTCGGGGGCGAAAAATCGATCTAGCTAGGTTTTATTTTTAGAAATAGTTTTGTCAGGGAATGAAAAATATAATTCGAATATGACGGTAAATTTCGCCGCAAGAGAAAATGTCAAAATAGCTTGGTCGGTAATCGGGCGGCAACAAAACAGACGGCCGTGGTTCGCGTCACGATCATTTACACATTTATTTTTTTACTTTTTTTTCGATTCCATTGATCATTGCTTTCTTTATTTTTAATTTTTTGTCGATTTGTTATTTTGTTATTTTTTTCCCTTTTTTTTAAAGTTCTTTCTTTTGTGAAAAACATCAGTTCATATTTTCATATTATTACGTCGGTAAGATCGAAAAATATTATGCATATTTCATTACTCAGTAATTTGTATCAAAATGTAATTTGCAAAATACACGATTTACCAAAAAAAAAAACAAATCGAGCAAAGCTCGGTCCTCCGGGTACTATATATTTATATACATAGGTTGTTAGAGGATACCTACAGGCATTAAATCAGCAACTACTATTGTGCTCTATCATTTGCAAATAAATGACAAAGTTTCAACTAAATCGACTGTAATTTTTTCTACTATTTCAATGCATACAGAACACTAGGTATGTTTTGTTTTCTTTTTGCCCGTGCTGAACCATAGGTAATGCAAATATGACAAGTAGTGAACAGAGACCACTAAGAAATTCTAGTTCTTGTTTCTCCTGCCTTTATCCCACACTAGGTGGGGTCGGCACCCATTTGGCTAGGTGACTGAACACCCGGAGAAGGGAGGCCTGAGAAGGCCACAGTCGCGCCGGGGTTCGCGGAAGATTGCGTTTCCGTGTCCCCGGTAAAAGTGACAGCGCAGGTGCAACGTGGGTACCCCGTAAATTCCACATACCCCTGCCGCCTACCCACAAGGCGGCGGGGGATCCATAAAGGTTTTTTCCTACGTAAAAAAAGGTGGGGTCGGCACAACATGACGGAACCATTTTGTTGTTTCAGTTATTGATTTATTTTTATAATCACCCGCCTGACCGAGGTTAATCCTGCTTTTTTCTACTGTAACTGTGTCACATAAATGTGGTAGAGTCGCGTAGCAGCTTTTTCCGTTACGTGACTCCAATCCGTTACGACCTCCAAGAAGTTCTACGTGTTTATTACAATATAGCGATATTATTCTATAATATTATGCTTCCTCTTTTTAGTTCATTTACATTTCGTCATCACTGATGAAGAGTAGGTAAAAATGTTTGAGATTCCTATCCGTAACATAACTAAATTTGTTTGACTTACGGATAATTGTAGCGAATGTTCATGTATTCCGTTGTTTAACTTTTAGTTGTTTAAATCTTCTTACATTAGGGTTGACATTTTATTAGAGAATTAGGAACAAGGAAATATTGAACGAAAAAATTGGCCAATAAAATTATTACAATGAATTTCTGTCTAGTGCATAAATCGCTTCGGAACATATAACACATAGGTAGGGACTGGTAGTAGCAGTCGCAAATCACGCGTGGGAAAAACCGCACTGACTTATTAGAAGTGCTCTCGCGGGCAATTTCCGATAATGTACACTCAACGTACGTACCAAGGACCATTCGATTGGATAACCGAGTTACGAGCGTAAAGAAAAAAACATCAATGTGTGCAGTAGGGAATAGGTGAACAGTTTATTTTTATGTAAGATAGTGGCCACCTACCTGCCGCCTGATTGCAACAAACACGAACTCTCGAAGGGTTGCAGATGCGTTGAACTTTTAATAAATTGAACTCCGGTCTTACTACTCATCAGACGAAATACAAAAGTATACACTTCACCTTCTTGACTAGCATTTCTATGCTACAGCAAATACTACGCGGCCCAGTCACAGGGTTAAGAGAGTGAAGAAATATATTGAAAAATTAGTACGAAATTATCACAACACATGCTACAAATTTCTTAAATGGAAGTCATCCTCGTAATAATTAAGATCGATACGCATTGTTGTTCCGATTACACCAAATTGCACTGGAATATTATCATACCTATACAATGGGTATAGACTTAAATTTGTTTAATTTTTTGACAAATAGTTCTTCGATCCCAATGGGATATACACAGATAGATCTTCCAAATCATGAAATATCTGTTGCCCTAGGTTAAGCAATGTAAAACATAAATTTTTTTTTTAGAAAAAATAATGAGTCATCATTATTGTGTTTTATTGCCATATACTGTATGAATATGGTATGGAATATATTTTTCTTGGTTGATTTTAATGGAATTTATAGCACACATTGCGAGCACTAATGATTTAAACATGCGGTAAATACTACGCGTCGACTAGTAAGTACGTAATAATCGTTACCAGCAGTCTAGTATTTTAGCTTTGACCACAGTGCTCAAGTAAACATACTAAGAAACATCTAGTGCGAAGTTTCTGAGTCACAGCTTCTGGTATTCCCGGTATATGCCTCGTGTGACGGACATTGTAAAGAAACGAGGACATAAAAATTGTTGTATTTAGATTAGACTTTATATATATTAAATTCCAGAAATTAGAAATTAAGTTACTTAAAATACTACAAATTTAAAATGCGCTAATCAGTCGATTTATTTTTGTATTCGCAATTCTTGTTATATACGAAAAAAAACTTTAGGACGTTATCCCTCTAAAACCACAATTTTGTATACATATGCTTTGTATAAAGAGTAGCTTAAAGCAACGTAAATTCTACATAGAATTTAAAATTTTCCCTTTAAATTGTAATATAACATAATAAACAGTAGTATTATCCACCTCTGCAAAAGCTATTAATAATGATGCATTACTACTTTGATGAAAAACAGATGTCAATGAATTCAGTGATGTACACAACTATATTCCTCCCTTAACTAATGCTCATTTGCACTCCAACCCATCAAAAAATAACTGATACAAAGTGGAATCGTGTTAGCCTAGTTCCGAGGTATATTTGGTCACCTGTGTCTTAAAATATGCGCTTGTAGTAAGGTAGACAGATAATAGACCTCATTTTCGCCTTTCTAAGTCAGAGTCAACTAAAGCTCTTATCGGACGTTAAAAAACTAAAAACCACCGGTTCACTAAACTAGATCTGAACAGAGAACACCCGGCAAGAGACTCTGCGGTCTTGTTATCAAAATTTTTAACGGATACTATAAAATATCAGTAATTCAGTCTAAT